AATGAACCACGTGAATAACATGGGGGTGTGTTTTTCCCACTTGTAACTTACTTTTTGTCCACACTTTCCTTTATCTACTCTGCTTTTATTTGGCACAAACTAGTGATCAATGCATGCAAAGTCACTTAATAGCTCGCCAACTTTACCAGGTACTAAAGCACCATTGCTATTTTTCATCTTTCATGTTTTGTTGGATTGCCTACTGTGATCAGTAGCTGTGAGAAGAGACCAAACTGAGTTTGAGACGAATTTAGCATCCAAGAACTGCATGAGTTTTGTACCCAAATACTTTGCGGGATTTAACACTTACGAAACGTTCATGGAGGTTAATGACCCGAGTTTTGCCGTTGTGGGATTTAATATTCAAGCTTTGCTCTTTGTAGAGCAAACAAAACCTGAGAACTTGATCGTGGGTTAAGTATCCGATTCTTCATCGCAGGTGAAATGCCCATTTGTTTTGTAGCATTTGTCAATTTTACTTACTTTTCCTTTGCAAACCATCTTTTCCTTTGCAAACCTTCTAGATGCATGAGCAGCCCTTTGTGTTCTCTCTTCCGTTAGTGACCTGAGAGCAATCTTTATTCCCGCTGGTGTTTGAAGTTGGCGTCATTCTGGCACCCTTTGTAACGTAGGAAGACTTCGGCTGATTTCGTTGTTGCTGGTCCATGATTCTTGTTGTTTTTCCATGTTCATGCTTGTTGCTGCAGTGTTTGACATCTTCAACTTTGAGAAGACAGAGCATGGCGTCAGGACTCTCACGAAGCTTTCAGGTTTGATTGGAACTTCATGGGGTGGTTTAGACCACCCCGAAGAAATTCATGGGACTAACTGCAGCGGCACAAACTGCTCATTTTTCTTCTCGGCAGGGACGAACTTGCTGGGGCAGAGATCACGGCATGGCTGCTGCTTGGCCAAAGGAAGAAGAGGACGAGGGAGAGTGAGCACTGCACTGATGCGTTCTTCTTTTGGTCTTCTGTTTGGTATTGGTGGTCTGATCCTGCTGCCACTGTTGAGAGACTTGGATTTGATCTTCTTTTTTTTGTAGTTGCAAATCTCCAGAGGCCTGCGGCTTTATACTCTGGTTCGGAACCGCCGGAGAAGAATAAACTGGTAGTCAGCGACTCGGCGCTGCTCGGCCGAGAGAGAGGGAGGAGGTGTCACGGGGAACTTGAAATGAGGGTGGTGACTGGGTTTTTTCAAAGCAACGCCCCCTATTAAAAGGGGTGGGTTGCTTTACCCGTTGTCGGCAAGATTGTAGAAGAAGGAGAAGAGATTTTTTTTTCTTCTCTTATCTTTTGGCTGCCTTGGGGAAGTTATCCCATCCTTCTGGCTTCGGTGAAAGAGGAAAAGCCAAGTTCCTCTTTTATTCATCCTGCAAAAAGCTGCACCTTTGGGTACTTTGATGTTCTCGTGTGCACCCCTTGTGCCTTTCGTTTTCTTGCTTTCTTTGTTCTTCTTTGTCGTCCGTTCCTCACCGTCGTTCTGCAGCGTTCTCTTTGTCTCCCAATTTCTCTCTTGATTTCTGCAGGGTCTCCTCTCTCGTTTCCTGTCTCCCCTTTTTTGCTGTGGTTGATGCCTATTTATAGGCATCTTAGGAGGTTTCCAGAGTTCTTATGTGGGGGAGGATAGAGGCCTTTCTTTTCGCCACTTTCTCTTAAACTGACTCCACTTTTCTTTTTGTTGCAGAAAATGGGGGAGCCGCTGATTTTGTATGTTTCTTCGCTCTTTTGTAGGGAAATGCATATTTTATTTTATTTTATTTATGGATGTATGTAAAGCCCATCCTCATTTTTGTTGAGCTGGATTACATCTTGTTTTGCCTTGTAGTTTGACTCAATTTGTATGGACTTTATTTTTTTATACGTCATGTATTTTTATTGTTCAACAATACCTATGTATTTGTTCAAACATCCACACAAAACTCAATTTTCTCCTATAATTCTTCCAATTTATCTTTCTACAATTTCTTTCCATTTCCAAATTGTTCAACATGGCAAGAGAGCATGTTAGAGGTCGTAATTGGACCTGTGAGGAAGATGTTGCTTTATGCTTGGCATGAGTTTCTGTTAGTGAAGATGGTGCAGTTGGCACAAATCAAAATAAAAAGGTTTTGTGGGATAAAATCATTGCAAAGTTTCAAGAAAACTGCAACGGCGGAGGGTGGGACGGTGGTGGTGTTTATGATCGATGGAAGACTATCAACAAAGCATGCACTTTATGGAAGGGAAGCTTGGAGAGAGTCATGGTTGACATGCCTAGTGAAAAGAGCGCCATAGAAATTGTGAGTTTTTTTCTTGATATTTTATTTGTCATGTACATAATATTATTTTGCAACTAATTATTTTTATGTATTTTTTACATAGGGTGACAAAGCAATGGAAATTTACAAGACAAGAGTAACACCAAAAAATCAAGTTTTTAAGTTGCAACATGCTTGGGACGTCCTCAAGGACTGTCCGAGGTGGGCAACCGATGCAGACCAACAATGGGGAAGACTATTTCAACGTGAAGCCGCACCGAGAAATGAAGGTGTCGATGAAATGACCCCATCTCCTTCTTTACCAAGACCCCCAGGAAGGGATAAGCAAAGAGAAAAGGGAAGTCCCATGATTCGACGAATGGAGACTTTGCAACCGGAATTGCAAAATTGCACGAAACTCATAGCGCTCGCCAAGAAGAAGCGGCCTGAATGCGTTTGCAAATGAAAGAAATCTCGGATAGGGAGGAAAATAGGTTTGAAATTGAATTCATGATGAAGGACCTCAGCAAATACACTCCAGAAAGGAAGAAGTTCTTACGTGATAAGCAAAAGGAAATTATGCGAAAGTCTGCCTCAAGGAGTATGTTTCAAGATGATGAATCCTCTGAACCCTATATCCCAACATTTCAACGAAGTCCATCACCAAGTGAAGATGGTGGATATGATTGTTAAGTTTATGTAGTGTATGAATTATGTGCTTTATTAATTAAGTTTATTAATTGTTGTTTGTATTAAGTTTATGTTGTTTATTATGTGGTTTATGTACTTTATTAAATTTATGTCTTATTAATTATTGTGTCTATTTAATCTAGATGTCTTCAATAATTATTGTACTTATTATTCTACACTTTGTGAAAAATTTAATGATTTTTCAATATTTATCGGAATTTAAATTTTTTTAGATTAAAATGTTCATAAAATTAATTTACAATAGTCTACATATTATTTATTTATTTTTTTAAATTTGATTTAAGAAAAAAATTAGCCTAAGTTCATTCTTTAATAATTCCGGGCTAAAACTTTAAGTCAGAAGTGTTGGAGCAGAAAAAATGTTTCTGCGCTAAAAGCCAAATTTTCCGAGCTAAAAAATTTGGCTTTTAACCTAAAGGTTGGAGATGGTCTTAGAAGGGTGAAATTGGATGGTTTTGGGTTTTTAATCATTTTCCTAGCAATTGGATAGCCCGATGCTGGGATATTATATGTCTTGTTGGTATGGCCCAATATGGTGCGTGGGCTAAACACACTGATAAATTTTAGATAAACCATGGACTAATGGATTTCGCTCGCTCACCATCCATCATTAAACCCCTTAATTTCCCTCTTGTTATATCTTAAGTCATCTTTAACTGAAAGAGTTAAAAACAGTTCCGCTCAGACTTATACTCCTGTAAAAAATTGTTTTTAAATAAACAATGTCAAACCATATTCATATACCATCTTCAACCGAAAAGGCTAAACATAGTCTCTTAATAATTTATTAGTTTTGAGTTTATATTTTAAATTTATTGGATAACTTAGTTAAACTATTGTTGGATGTCTTCAAATCCAATTGTTGAATTTGAATCAAGTATTGCAATTAAGGAGATGTGCCAAAAAAAAGGGCTACATTTGGCTAGTCTGATGTCCTCTTAGCCAAAAAATGGCCTTATGGGCTCCATAAAGTTCTAGTTCAACCATTAATTGGAAATGAGTTTTTGGATAAATTAGACAATTTTTTAGTTTTTAGACCTTTAGCCCTCTTCATATAGCCTGATATATTACAACATTCAAGCATGAGTAAGTTTTTTTTTTTTTGAACGAACGATATTATCAACACTAAGGGGGAAATGGTGTGCTTAGCTTCATAACGAGCTAGGAATAATGTGGTTCAAATTCGTCTTTGGCAATAATCGAATCTAAGATATTTTACTTATAAATGAAGAAAAAGATCACTAAATTGTAATACTGAGTGACTTAAGCGTGAGTAGGTTAATTGTCACTAACTACTTTTCTGTCTCACTTCATACGGTTTACCCACGTTTTTCCTTGGTTGTCATCCAAATATCATCTCTCCACAAGATTAGCACATGGCTCACGTGCAGGATTGACTTTTTTTCACTACACACAGAGCTAGAAGACTTACAGCACGTGACTTGAGTACATGAAGGCTTAAGCAAAGTATCTTACACTTTTAATATTTTGTATATATCAATGTTTTTTTTTGTTACAATATATAACAACATTTTAATTTATTCAAGATTAACGAGAATTATGATTCATACTTAGATGAAAGGTGTAACTTACTTAACAAAATCATGCGATTGACTAAAAACATTTCCAAATTAAATAATTTTTTACATGTATAAATTTCAGATGATCATAAAAAAATAAACGATTCTAATTATATAATGTTCAAAAAGTGAAAATACGTTATTAGTAAGTAAAGAATAAGCATATTCCCTTATAAAAGGAACACAAATATTATCCAATACCTTTCACGCTTGCTAAAAGATAATCAATATTTTCGCGATTGCGTGTTTACTCAACTTTCTCAAAATAAAATGAAAAGCATCCTTTCAATTCTTCTGATAACGTTTTATTGCAGTAGTTAAAAGCAATTATACCTGAATCCTAGTGCCGTTCGATCCCTACCAATCATTATACGTGATAACTAATTAACCGATTAACACAAAAAAATAAATAAATAAAAATTCCAGGGCGGCAAACCGTAAAGAATGACAACTGGACAACTGGACAACTGAACCGAACCGGGAATTGTCGGAGGAGAGCTAGGAACCTGCCTCTTTAGGAAGCAACGCGCAAAACCAAAAGGTCGATCGTTTTTCCCAGATACCAACATCTGCGACGACCGACAGAGAGATCGAGAGGGCGACACTTTGATCACTGCCCTCTCCGTCTCCGATCAAACAACCCCCTCATTTTTCATGTTTTTACACATATACATTTGAATTTAATTGTTCATTGCGTTTCAGTTAAGAAACCAAGCAAGGACATCATCCTTGTTGTCGTCGAATTACCTGCGAAAATTCCTATGATTCTCGGTCCCCTTTCATGCGACGATTGAATACCCGTAAAGGGGTCAATTCGAAGCCTGCCGACGACGACGACGACAGCAATATGGATCCGGTTAAGCTCCAAATCCGACCCATCACCCGATCCAATCTCTTCTCCCGGAGCCCCAAGCACAACCCCAGATCGAGCCTCTTAATCTTCGCCTCGGTCGCCATCGCACTCGCTCTCACAGTATGCTACTTTCTCGTTTCCGCGCGAGATTCAATAAATTTTGGTACGAAACGGTACGGGATTGTCATTGACGGTGGGAGTACGGGCAGCCGGATCCACGTTTTCGGGTACGGAGACGATGGCGGTAATGGCGCCGTGTTTGATTTTGGAAAGGACGGGTTGGCATCGATGCGGGTCAATCCTGGGCTCTCGGCGTACGCAGAGGATCCAGAATCGGCAGGCGGGTCGTTGAGGGAGCTCGTGGAGTTTGGGAAGGGGAGGGTTCCGAAAGAGCACTGGGCGGAAACGGAGATTAGGCTTATGGCTACGGCGGGGCTCCGATTGCTTGATCTGGGTGTCCAGAATCGGATTCTGAATTCTTGTAGGAAGGTGCTTCGGGGTTCCGGGTTTAAGTTTCGTGACGAGTGGGCTTCCGTCATTACAGGTACTGTTAATTGTGAATTCATGGTGGTTTTGGTATTAATTGCAATACAATTGAAGTGAAATGAATAAGCTTTGAAATTAAATTTAATGGCATTGTGCGAAACAAGCCGATTTCGGATGTTAGGAAAGATTGTTTGCAATGATGTTCTTAGTTAGTTTTATGTCAACTTCAAGTTCGTAGATTTTTACTTTCGGAGTTAGTCTTCAAATTCGTATTGCTGAAAATTCTGGTTGATGTAGGATCTGATGAAGGATTATATGCTTGGGTTGTTGCAAACCACGCGCTTGGGACTCTGGGTGGTGATCCAATGCAGACAACTGGGATAATTGAACTTGGTGGAGCTTCTGCTCAGGTTAGGTGACTTCTATCTGTTATTCGGGAATTGGTATTGTATTGGGAAATATGATTAGGTATCTCTTCATCCACAAGCACTAAAAAGTTTAGGTCTTTTCACTTAATAGTCCTTGATAATAGTACATTTTTGAGAAAAACGCTTCAAGTACAATGCTTTTAGAGGAAAATCCGGCTGACGATGAATGGGTGAATGACAACAAAGGAATTTCGCAAGTAAGAATTAGTTAGAATATGAAAAGTGGCTAGCTGAGTTGTTTTTTAACTCTAGTTAAACTCTTGAGGTGTTTTTTCTAACTTACTGAAAAAATTAACGGAGAAAAGAGTTGGGAGAGTTGTGCATGGTTCAAGCAGTTAGGAATTTGAAGTTTTTAATTTTTGGTTGTCTAATAATGTTCAGTGCAATTTTATTTTAGGTGACATTTGTTTCAAGTGAGCCGGTGCCTCCCGAGTTCTCCCGTGCTGTTAAATTTGGAAATGTCTCTTACAATCTCTACAGTCACAGCTTTCTTCATTTCGGCCAGGTATTTATTTAGTTCTATTAACACTGTTTAAAGTTGCCAGCCAAATGGAAGCTTGAAACTTTAATTTTCCTTAAGGCATTACTTTATGGTTTGAAGTTTAGAAGTAATTTGGTTTTGCAGAATGTTGCGTTTGATTCATTGAAAGAGGGTATTGTTTCAGGAGACTTCGACTCAGGTAAAGATACAAGCTTTGCTTTCTTCACTGATTATATGAATGCCTTGAACCTTGAGTTATTTGACTTACTGAATTCCAATATATTCTTGTGAGTCCGGCATCCTTGAACTTGATACTTCTTTAAACACAGAGTGTCATTTCCTGTCCTGATAGGATCTGTCTATATTTGAAGGCAATGGATTTGTGCTGGTTCACATTTGTTTGTGCTGAATTCTACAATTGATGGTTCGTAAATTCTTAAAACAGAATTTTGTAGTTTTGAATTATACTCGTGTCTAATGTTTAACAATAGCACAATAGTTATATGAACTGCCAAATTCCTTTTTTCTGCTATTCATATACTAGGAATTTGACTTGACTTGACTGTTTGGTAGTATGGAGCATATTTATGCAGTTCATACTCCTCCTTTTGCACAGTTATTTTGAAACAATTTTTATGTCTTTATGTAAAGTTCGTTTGAATTCATTATTGTAATCTGATTTAGTTGTTGATTCCTTCCTTTGATCAAATGAATATTCGGCGTACTTGTTTAAGTCTCACATTTAGAACAGGATATTTTTTCTGGATTTCTTACATCCTTTTCTCATTAATACAGCTGCCGAGTCACTTCAGGAAAGAATGTCATCAGATCCTTGCACTCCTAAAGGCTACTCACATAAGATGCAGTCTTCGAAGCTTTCTCCAAGTTCTTTGGTTGGGAAGAATAGACATCTATCTGCTCTACAATCAAGGGGTAACTTCTCTGAGTGCAGATCTGCTGCAAAAATTATGCTGCAGAAAGGAAAAGGTTTTAGATATTCTTCTTCAATCTTCGGTGTATTATTACATTTGCGTGCCACATTTTGTATTTACTCTCATTTAACTATGATTATCTCTTTGCCTGTGATCAGAGAAATGCTCCTATCAACATTGCGATATAGGATCAACTTTCATTCCTAAGCTTCGGGGAAAGATTTTGGCTACAGAAAATTTTTTCTATACATCCAAGGTTTTTGCTTCTCACTTCTCTATTTTTCATCAGTTTCTTCTTAGTACTGTTCTTACCGTTAGTTTGTAGTGTCGAGCAAGAAGTATACCTTTTCAGATTTGAAAAAAGGATTTTCAATTTTTGTATTTATTTTATACTTATGTTAATAACTTAGTCAGTGTACTTCGATGCATTCAATTATGTTTCTTATACTCTCTTTTTTGCCACAACTTGCTTAGTTTTTTGGTTTGGCCCCAAAAGCATTTCTTTCGGATTTGATGATAGCTGGACAACAATTCTGTGGAGAAGATTGGTCAAAAATAAAGAAGAGATGGCCAACACTTGATGAAGAAGCTTTGCTGCACTATTGCTTCTCTTCAGCATATGCGGTGGCCCTACTTCACGATAGTCTTGGACTTGCTTTGGATGATGAAAGGTGTTACTCGTTTTACTTCAGAATTGTATATTGTATTGGATGAGAATGCGAATCTGTACCTTATTGTTTGTCGCTTTTTTTTAATTACCAGGATCGGGTTTGCAAATCAGGTGGGAAGTATTCCACTCGATTGGGCTCTGGGGGCTTTCATCTTGCAAAGTACATCTGATTTGGACGTAGGGCACTCTGATTGGCTTACCACCATAATTGGTGATGGATCTCCCACATTGCTATCAATAATTTTCATCTTTTCAATATTGATGTTTACAGTGTGGTGTGTGTCAAAGTGGAGGAAGCCACAGCTGAAGACAATTTACGATCTGGAGAAAGGGCGGTATATAGTCACTCGTGTTAGTAAATGTTGATAGCGTCATCTAGAGGAATGCACATGCTATGTAGGTTCGGATTGAAAGAGTGGTGCGATGTGCCAAACCCGATTCACTTGAGCAGCCTCGGCTTCTTGCCAAAGGCCCACCCTCTCGATGTTACCAACTGGAAATGAGACTCTGGTGTGCATCTATCTACACAGAATTTAGAGGTAACTTATTTGTGCCAGAGCTAGTCTTAGATCCCCATTGTATTCGGAGGAAGCCCGATACCTCCTATTTGTTATACCATATGAGCTCTCATTGCCCCCCAAATGCCATTGAGAAGGTTAGGATAAAGGGAATGGGGGCATGTTGGTTTTGGAGATAGATGTAGAAAGCTGTATCGTTGTATGATAATGTGGTAATGCACGTGATTTATTCGTCACAATTGTTATTCTCGTTTGGATTAATGAAAGAATTTGCAGTTCTCTCGACCGTCTGTATGGAGTGAAAGCCTCTTGTAATGTATATGTTCAGTGAAAATTGTAGTTGTTGATGCCATGAGATCCCTCCATTTGAAGGCTGAAGTCGCAGTCGATCGGAGCTCTTGTTTCAAAGTTTACGGAAAGGAACCTCCACATTTTCGCTCGAAACTAAGAAGCCGGGTAGAGTACGGCCTATATGTTAAATGTCCGGCTCTTAAAGAGAATCACCGCTAGACTAGAAGCTAGTTGGTCACAAAACGGAAAAACCAACCCTAACATTTTTGTTTGACCGAGTGTATATTTTGAGCTGCTGTATCAGTGTGACAAAAAGAACATCTAGAAGCAATTAATGTTTTAATTAACTTTTTTGTAGGAAAATTAATGGTCTCTTCCCAATTTGATGTGTGCTTTATCCTACCTAATTAATTAATACTGATCCAAACCTAGCTTCACTAGCACGTTACACCCCCAATTTTGGATAATTAAAGCAAAGTTAGGAAAATTTAAGACCATGATTTTGAAAGCCAGTCGAAGGTGGCAATTTTCCATTGGCGGATTGGAGCTGCGTAGGCTTGAGGGTCGGTTCAAAAGTTGGATTTAAGTGCCTAATTGGAAACATAATTACTCTGAGAAATTTGTAAAAGTAACCAAATTAGAGGGATGTTAATGATTTGTAGGCTTACCCAACTAATTGTCTGTTTGACACTGTTTTTAAAGGGGCTAAACTCGTATTATTACAATTAAAAGCATTCTGACTACGTTTAATAGAAAAAATCCAAAGTGTTTTTGGGTTGCAGTGCTTTCCAATGAATCATTTGACTTCTTCGAAAAGCACTTCAAATTCTAATAAAAATTTCCACAATTTTTTTTTTTTACTAAAGTCACTTGTAGAAAAATCGATGCGTTTAATACAAACACTTTATACATAAGTATTCCCAAATGAGTGCTATTTGTTGACTACCTAACATTATTCTTTATAACATTTAGCCATTTGAGGGTGTTCGAGCAGTGGCATAGCAATTAAGGGACTATAATAGTCCCTGGCCTATCTTGCCTTTTTTTTTTTTTTTTTTGTGCTGCATATCAATCTAATACTCTTAAAATTCAAGTGTATTCTCAATCCAAACTCTTTTATGTTCCAGACACCAGATTAAATTGAGGGCATTGCATATCATTCTAATACCCTTACTGTTGTTTTGTTAGCTTAATCCAAACTCTTTATCCTCAAATTTTTTTTTTTCAAATCATTTTGACCCATTATTTATTAAATTGAGGGTGTTTTTGTAATTTTGATCCTTATTTAGCAGAGATCTTTCACCGAATGGCCAAAATGATTGATGGTAGACAAACTCATGAATCACTTCTGTTAATCAAAATGAAGTGTTATGACAATCTTAGAGACAATTTTGAGTTAAAATGCCTTCCCTTATTTGTTAAATTTGAAGTTTGCATAAAGCTAACAAAGCAACAATAATTGTGAATGGTTGAAGGCTAATACCCACAAGATTGATAATCTGCATAGGATTGAATCTTTTCTCCATTCGGATGTTCCTCCTTCAGGTTGGTATAAGCTTCATGTTGATGGTTGCAAGAAGGGAAATAATAATTATATTGGAGCAAGTGGTGTTTTAAGAGATTCTGATGGTAAATGAATTTATGCTGAGAATTGCTTCCAAGATCGTGGCAATGCAAACTTTGACCCATCTACAGAGAAAAAAACTTTGTGACAGATAGTTTAGCGACTTATAGTCTTGATTTAGGTTTAGGTAATTTTTTATTTTAATAATCATTTTTATTTAGTTAATTTCATTTATAATGATCAATTTATAATATCTCGATCCATATTTATTATCGAGTAAATTTGTCTGGGCTCCTAATTTTAACCCCTTTTCCAACCAGAAAAAAGAAACAACAGTAATTAGCCGGCGGGGAAGAATCTGATGACGAGGATGACAAAGCAATTTCATTTGTCCGAATCAATGTGGTTTTATATAAATTTCGGACGTGCACAGCGGAACCGGTCGTATTACGCGGCAACGTAAAATCAGAATGACGAAAATACCCTTATAGTCGTTCGGTGAAGTCGAGGATAAGACACCCAGCACTATATATAGCAATTTGGCTAAAAGCAAATCGGACACTGGTATTTTCGGCAAATCCAAATTATCAACGACATTCTCTCTCTCTCTCTCTCTCTCTTCCCTGGTTATCTTAACGCGCTTTCGATTTCTTCTCCAATTCGGAGGTAAGATTTTTTTTCTCCCGAAGTCGGAAAGCTCCGATCCGCTGTGTCAATCCAGCGCGATCCCGGGTTTTCTAGGGCTTTAATTTGACCCGAAATTCGATTCTTTTGGTTGGTAATTTGTGTTGGCTCAATTCGGTTAGGTTCCTTTTTTTCTGTGCAATCGGCAATGAGCGACCACCTAGTTTTGTACGTTGACCGTCTCCTTCGGCCCATGGCAGCGCAGCCGCCTTCCCAGCCTGCTGCTGAGGCCGGTTATGTGCCCGAGCCGGCTGGACCGGAGCCGGAGCGGGATGCTGCCGGGCCGTCTTCGAGTTCGTCGGCGGAGGAGGACGAACAGCTGATTCAGACGGCGGAGTGCCGCATTTGCCAGGATGAGGATAGCATTAGCAATTTGGAATCTCCTTGCGCCTGCTGTGGCAGCCTCAAGGTATAAATTTGCCGTCTTTGTATGAAATTTGGATTTATTTTTTTTAAATTGAAATTGGTGCGGATTTGAATTCAGTTGTGTCGTTGTAGGGCATGTTTTCGAATTTGTATATTACTGTTTAGTGCTCGGGACGGAGAGAGTATCATGAAATGTCCCCAAATGAAAGTATGAGCATTTCGACATCGATGGGAGAGTTTTCTAGCTAGTTTTTTTTTTTTTTTTTAATTTGTGGAATCCATTAGGTCAATAGGATATGCTGTGCCACATTTCGTGTTGAAATGACCGATCCTGCCCCTCCTTGTTCGCGCATTTTTCATCATTGATGTTATTGACAAGTTGTTGCAGTCCATAATTTTGATTTGTAAAGCATATATTGTTTTTCATGAGCTAGTGCCTAATAATCTATATTCTTGTCTTCTTATTTTCGGTTTCTTGTTTGTCTGATCGCATTGTGCGTGGTGAAGTTTAATTTACATCTGTCTATCATGTGGGTCTCCAATTGATTTCGCACTGTTTTTCTCATTTATTTTTCAGTATGCTCATAGAAAATGCGTTCAGCATTGGTGCAATGAGAAAGGAGATATAACTTGTGAAATTTGTCATCAGGTATGCCCCTTGAATTTTCTGTACCTAGTTTTGGCGCTAATCTTATGTTGCACATAAGCTTATATGTTTCATTTTCCGACCACCTTGGTTACTTGAATTTTCATTTGTTGAAAAGTGAAGTGTTAATTTTCTTTTAGAATCCTCGGCCTGCACTGCATCATAAGGAATTAAAATCTAGTAATGGGTGGATGACAGTTGAATTTATGCGGTGACATGGTAAGGGGGGAGATGGCCCTTGACCTTTTCCTAAATGATGTGATACAATTGGGACATCTTTACCTATAAAAATTAGATTTGAGCGGGTGAATCAAAGTTAGATAGCTTACATTGCTTTCAGAGTTTGGAATAGTATCTTCTGTTTTGTATAAGCACTTTGGGATTAAATTAGATGGAGAAATATTTTGGATTGTTATTTGCATCTTATCTATTTTGAAAATTTGAAGTCATTCCAAGCAATCTTAAATTGCATTTTGTCCTAATTGGTGGTCTTTGGCATTATGTACAGCCTTACCAACCTGGCTATACCGCACCTCCTCGTCCGCCATCTGATGAAACTACTATTGAATTTGGGTGAGTCAAATTTTCTTATGTATTTGTTCATGTTTTAAAGCCGATCAAAGACAGAATATATAGAGTGCAGGTTCAGTGCAAATAGAGGCCAAAATGAGTTAGGGGTGAGGATTGGAGATCAGGAAATATCAAAGAGCGACCGCTTTCGCTACCTAGGATCTATCTTGAAAAAGAACAGAGAATTAGATGGAGACCTCAACCATAGAATACAAGTTGGATGGATGAAGTGGAAGAGTGCATCCGGCGTGTTGTGTGACTGTCATATGCCACTGAAGCTCAAGGGAAAATTTATAGGACAACAATAAGTCCGGCGATGCTGTATGGCACAGAATGTTGGGCGGTGAAGCATCAACACGTACATAAAATGAGTGTAGCGGAGATGAGGATGCTTTGTTGGATGTGTGGGCACACGAGAAAGGATAAGATTAGGAATGAGGATATCCAAGGTAAAGTAGGAGTAGCCAAAATTGAAGGAAAGATGAGAGAAAATCGGTTACGGTGGTTTGGACATGTGCAAAGAAGGCCTACTGACGCTCCGGTTCGAAGATGTGACTACGGGACAAAGGTTCAGGGCCGAAGGGGTAGAGGAAGACCTAGGAAAACTTTGGAAGAAACCCTAAGAAAAGATTTAGAGTACTTAGATCTAACGGAGGACATGACACAGAACCGAGCTCAATGGCGTTCTAGGATTCATTTAGTCGACCCCACTTAGTGAGAAAATGCTTTGTTGTTGTTGTTGTTGTTGTTGTATTTGTTCATGTTTTACCCAAGTGTTTGTGTGATTTCTCTTGATTATTTAGGTAACTGTGCTACTTAATACTTCTGTCATGTTTATGAATAAAACTGTTATAAAAGGCAATATGGAGGCCTTACAGACTTATAGTTATCTTACTTATCTATGGCTATGGATGTTTCTTGCAGTGGTGCCTGGACACTTTCTGGCACTCCCTTGAGTTTGGATGATCCACGCATTTTGTCAATTGCAGAGGCAGAACGTCAGTTTATGGATACTGAGTATGATGATTATTCTTCAACTAGTAGTGGAGCTCCATTCTTCCGTTCAGCGGCCTTAATTGTAAGACAAATAATTTTCAAAACTTACCAAGAAGACATTTAATTTTTTTCTCATAGTTCTTATTCCTCATGTATGATAAATAGCTTTGGTTTTTTATGTTGCAGTTAATGGGCCTTCTAATCTTGCGGCATGCAATGAGAGTCTCAGATTCTGACTCCGACTCTGGGGATGACTCATCTGCTATTTTCTCTGTAAGTGGATTCGAACTTGCATTTTCTATCAACACGTTTGCTGGTGCTACATTTTTTAATGAATGTGAGATACAGTTCATTGAGGCTGATAAACTGGCTGGTGCTTTTGCAGCTTTTCTTGCTTAGAGCGGCTGGCTTTCTTTTGCCCTGCTATATTATGGCTTGGGCCATCAGTATCTTGCAGCGTCGACAGCAAAGACAGGTCAGCATTACGTTCAGTTCTGTTTTCAAATGTTAATTCTTACCCATCGTTGGGTTTTTTTTTTCTGACTCTACTCTTTCCGTGTTGGACTTACTTAGCTACATGATAATCACTTGGTATATTCGAAAGTAATGTCGTAAAGTAGAGTCTGAGATTTGAAAACTAACATGATCCATAGATTTTGTGCTTATTTCTATCGCTCCTTATTGTTCTCATTTGTAATATGGCTAAACAGGAGGCCGCAGCAATGGCAGCAACCCAAGTTGCTTTTGTTCTTCAATCCGGGCAACATAGGGGTGTACAATTTGCGGTAGCGCCAGGACCCAATGGAAGTCCACATCAAGAAACTGCCTAATTCATGGAGCCAAGAAAACACCAGAGGGTTTTCCGTGCCATGGTGAGGGTGATTCAGCGGGAAAGTAGTGACAATAAATGAAAACGTTTACGTTTGTTGGAAAATATAATTGGAACAAACAAAAAGTGCAAAACAATAGAGAACAGAGAAGGCCTACAGCAGTGAGAGTTCTGTATAATTGCTTGTTGAAAAGGCTATGTCGTGCAAGTCTTGGTTCGTTCCATCTTCGGTTGTCCTGTATTTCATGTATATGTACGTTAATTTCGTCCAACCAGAGAAAACTGTTGATTTGGTTCTCCAACTTGTTGGGTAGCTCGAAGCAGTTGGTTGTTCGACTTGAATATCTTTCCTGAGCTGTATATTGTTATATTGTTTTTGGTTGTCACTTTCCAATGTTTCAGCACTTCTTTTTGTTCTCAACAAATTCACGACACAAATTTTCACTTTCTAGCATAAAAAATGCTCAGGATGTTACTTAGAAAGGTGGAAACTGAGAACAAATTACCGATAATGCGATGAGGTACTTTATAGTTCTATAGAACCTTGAGCTAAAGAATTCGATAAATGAACTAGAAAATGACCAGATACTATATCTTTGAGCAAACTTTATGATGTCATTTGAAATTACCTTGTAGTGTATTAGTAGAGTTAGTAAGTAGTAGCTTTGTAATGCTTTAGTAATTTGTTGATCTTTTTGTTGTGCATCTTAAACAATTATGTCTAAAGTATTTTAAAGTTCCTCGTCCAAACATAGAATTGAAGAATTTGAAAGAAAAAAAAGATTTGTTATATATAACGGTTAAAATTTGCTAGAAAAACATAATCATTAGACGTGTAATTTAGTACTATCAACACATGCAAAATTTAGAAGTTGACATCCATTTCTTACTTTCATATGCATTGAATTTAGTGTGTTATCCATACAAGAAACATATAAGGCATAAGAGTCTAAATAACTAATTTGATGATCTAAAGCCCTAGGTTTGGAAGTGATCCCAATTGAGTTTCTACAAAGCGATGGATGGATGGTAGCCTTGGAGCTTTTGTGATTCATGTTCGAAGTGGTCTTGTGTTTTAACACAAGGGCGGATCCACCTTGGGGCAAGGTGGGTCAGCTGACCCTCCCAAGCTCAGAAACCTTTCATGGAAGAGCTAGGTGTTATCCTACGAAAATCTGAGATGCTCCTGAAAGCTGACCCTCCAACAATTGCTCAACGAGTTGCCTATGTGGACACTGATAGAGTAGCTGCTAGCTATGCCTTAGTATGTGCTATGGGCATATGATGATAGACTCACTCGGCATATGTTAGCATCTATCGGCATGCTTGTTCCTAAGCTATCGACATCAGTCAACATGATCGCTCGGAAACTGTTGGCATCTGTCAACAAGCATGCAATATGACGGTATATGACATCAGGCTTACCGAGACTCGATGACATGCCAATTTGCATGTTATTTCGTCCAAAAAATTTTGGATGCTGTGCACGATATTTTTACTGACCCCCTAAATAATATTTCTTGGATCTGCCACTGATCCTGGACCTGGTTGGATTCAAGAGGGATTATAAAGGATTTGTACATTGGTAATAAACAAGGCAAAGCATTAAGCATACATTTATATTCTCTGTCACACTGTTTGGTATGAATTGTATGATGGTGAATCGTAATCCAGGAAGAATGATCGTAAAGTAAAGCAAAGCAAGCATCTCTCTTTGGGATATGGTTTTAGAGTTTTAGGATATTCTCTTTGTAGTTCCCTACTTTGTTTTTTGCTATTAAATACTATATGGGCTTATCAAGAATTTTAAACCTCCTAATTAAATCATTAATTGCGACAAATTTGGGTGTCAATGGTAACTTTTAATCTCTTATGTAAAAATTATTTGGATTTCAGACTTCTCATATGTCTATTAATACATATGAATTCGTAATCTAATATCTAAAAATCAAGAATCATATCTATTAGGAAGTACTTGATCTCATACTTTCCTTCTTTCGTTTTTAGGATTCATGACTTTCCTCGTTCCAAGTAAGTAAACATTGTCATGAGTCATATACATAGTTTTAACTTAGCTTTAAAATAAAAAAAACAAAAAAAACCCATCAAACACAAGGAAAATAATCATTAACTTAAACACATGAAATTTGAACGAGAAAGGAAATAAAGAAGGCAAAAATACCATTGGCATATATCCTTTGCTTTATCTTCTTTAACTTGCTTTGGCACTCTTTGTTTTGGTGGCTTATGAATGCTGTCATTGTATCGAGACCGTTCTGGTGGAAGGTTTAAACTTTCATGGGACCAGTTCTCCAGTTTTAAACATGTTATTAGAAAGCCATAACTTTAAGACCAACCTCGAGAATCTACAAAAGCCCACCCTATACGAAATATATTAACTCTTTTTCTTTAATTTTAATCTTAGTTTTTGCTTTTAATTATTGCTCTTAACATGGTATTTAAGGATGGGATCCACCAGATTAGTAAGAATAATGTTGCATGCTTTACAATTCTAATCTAAGTGCATAATTAGTTAACTGATTTAGTGTTACCTTAGAACGTAGTACGTACGTAGCCGTACAACAATCCAAAGAAGCAAAGGGTCCTACTCACACCATTTATCTTTTTCCTACTTTGGCAAAAGCATTTGTGGAGGCAACTTAGGGTTTGCGATATAAGTTTTCTACGTAAACATTGATTCTGTTTCGGGAATCTGGGATTAGGTATTGTGAGATTCTCATCTAACATTTACTAGTGCGTAAGCAACTGTTTTTAGAATTTCTTGATATGTAAAAAAATTCTTGACGTCCTGCATGCCTTTAAAACATAAATGGTATAAAGGCATTAAAGAAAAATCAATTTTCAAGCAACGTTAAGGCGAAAGATGCAACAAATGCAACTTCAAAATTACTTACAAAGTACACAGTTTCTGAAGGTATTAATAGTCTCTCTTTCCAAATTGAGTGATCTAAGTTCTAAATTTGATTGGCAATTAGTAGTTAATCTCGCTTAATCTTTTACACGTTCATTAAAGTACCTGAACACGATATTGGTGTTCAAATTAGATTTATCACTGTAAATATATACTATATTTATATATGCATGGTTGGTCATAGGAAATCTACCAAAGGAGATTCTAAAAATCTTATGGAGAAAAAAAAATCGACCAGAAAGCTACAACTCAGTTAGGTCTCTTTTCACTTTCATATTGATAAAAAGCAGAGAATCAGCACATTAACAAAAACATTCAAGCCCAGATTTTATTCGACCAGTCGCCATTCATCTTAAGGCTACATGTCACCCACATTTGATAAAGCACAAGAATTTGTGCTTTAGGATGTTCCAACTTGCATGTAAAACTTTGTTAATTATATATAACATATTAGTGTTGATTAAATCTCATTAGTTATAAAGAAAAGGTGGTCTAAATTACAAAACTGAAATGGGTCTTTACTCTCCTAAAAATGAGATTCTCAATGGAATCTCTGACACCTCATTTTTTTGCACAACATTTTATAATATTAACACGAGAATTGATATTAAAACGTGATGTGACAAAGAGCTCATAAAAATTTTTATAATATTAACACGAGAATTGATATTAAAACGTGATGTGACAAAGAGCTCATAAAAAATTTTACTTTGAGAAAAATCCCTTATCATTTCTGAAGCAAAAAAAAAATTGAAGAGGAGTATTGAGCAAAGTAAAGCATAAAGAAAACACATTTAGCACAAGAACCCAAGTATACCAGTGTTGTTTTTGTTGCATTGGGAAGGGAGCTTGGAATTCTAAAGTTTCAAGGGAGATGGGAGATCTTAGAAATCCTAAAGCAAGTGTTTGTTTCTTTACATGCAATGCATGGCTTGCTTCTGATTGCGACTGTAGCATCTGCTAGGTTTACTGTGGTGTCTGCCCAGTCATATATTCCTATTAGAAAAACAAAGACCTCCTTTACTTAGCGGGAAAGGAAATGTATTATACCAAAAACCCCCCAGCACACATCTCAGATTAAGGAGCCTAAACCGCCTAAACCCCTTTTATCCCAATACAAATATCAGATTAATGAGTTAACCATCAAAATCTAACTTTTGTCAGGCCAAAAAGAGACAACAAGCAACTTGACGGCTAAAAATATTTGGCTCCTTACATGTATTGATTCAATTCCTCTTATAAATCAATCACAATATGTGTGTATAAGTTTTTTGTTTTGTGATTCTAAAAAATTCTCCAACATATATGAACATGTGATTTTCATATAAGGATAAACGACGACTTAACAGTAAGAAGGCAAACAATGTTCGTTAATGTAATCTACCTTAGTTGAACATTGAATATGAGCATACATCCAAGATTGTTTTAGGGGTAAACTTGTTTAGTTACCATTATAATATTTAGATACATAAAACTAATCACATTGCTGACACTCTAATTATTATAGACTCTATCATTGTATGTCATTCAGATACACAAAACTTATCACATTGCTGACATACTCTCTAATCATTATGAACTCTATCATTGTATGAATGACAGACATGTATTGTAAAGTGGTGTTAACAATATGGTCGATTTTGTACGTCAAAATAGCATAACTTTGATTAATTAACTATACATCGAATTCACATAAGCACAGTACATTGATGTGGCAAAGAGAGACCAGTAGACTGGATTTGGCCTTTATTTTCTGATTAGACAAAAGCTGCGCAAATGATAAGAGATGTAGGGGAGGGAACAATTGAAAAAAGATACTTGGCTTATCAAGGGTATTGTTCAAATACCCTTTATTCATCCATGTCAGATTGTTCAATATAACAGCCTTAATTTGCTTAGATTGCTGCGGACTTATGATTTGGGTGAATCTAAAATTCCTTGTTGGTGTCTTGGGTCCCTCCATCGATAGTTTTACACTTTAAATCCCTCTCTTCCAAAAACCAACACACATAAATGCCGCTGTTGCACCTACAGGAAGATCTTGTTATCTCCTACTACTCTTCTTGTTAACTTCTTCTGTGTCGAAATCAAACCATGATTTGCAGTAATCATGGCGTGTTTATTCTTCTTCTTATCTGTATTGGGTTCTTAGTAGTTCAACCAGATGAAGTCTTTGCCCTCACAAGTATAGGTGCTGCCCTCAGACAGAACCGAGATCAAGATCATCGTTGGATTTTGCCGCGGAATCAGCGCAGTCTCAAGGCTGTCACGATGGAGGAAATGAGCACTGAGAAGAAGAATTCAACAAATACAAACAACTTTGATCTGAATCAGTCTAGCAAACGAAGAGTGAGGCGAGGATCAGATCCTATCCACAATAGGGCTTAAAGGAGCAAAGCTGACATTTTTACACACAAAGTTGATTCGATTTCAAGCAATGCAGCAAAAACCAGAAGG